TCCACAGGGACACCTCATGGGGAGTGAGTGTGTGTCCCGCCTCCAGCGAGCTATTTATCTCCTTAGCGCCTCCAAATGAGGCCACCAAGCTGCGACCCGATTGACTGGCTAAACTCCACCCCTTCACTCTTCAGTCTCAAATCGACAACAGATTATGTAACTACCACACAGTCCATACACACACACACACACACACACACACACACACACACACACACGCGTATATATGAAGGGACTCCAAAATGAAAGTTATATTCATTTTCAATTATGTTTTTTTAGGGATTTTTTTTGACGCTTTGTATGTGTTGTTTAGCTTTGGGGCAGGTTTTGACTTACTGAATAATATTCTTGTAAAACTAATGTTCTGGAATGGAAATGTCCTCCAGGAAGACTCCTTGGTAATATGCCCTAATCTCCATATAAATAGAAATGTGCTTTTAATACTTCATGTGCATCTGCTAGGTGAGTCAGCTTGAGACTTGCTTCTCTGAGATTCTTGGCTGGAATTTCACTCTGAAGTGGGACCTCAGAATACCAAGCACACCACAAATGACAAAAACTGATTATGCCGATCCGAATCCAAATGTAATGTTTATGATGTTTTTAAAATGAGGCTTAGTCTAGCTCATGCTTCAACAGAGCTCTTTTGAATAAAATGAAAGTCTGGATTAAAAGGATGCTTTCCTGATGGTTTTATTAAAATTCTTTGAAATTTGGCAGACAGGAGTGATAAGCATTTAACATTTTTAATGTTTTTCCTTTGTTACCTAATTTATTATTCAAATCATGGCCCCCAAAATATTTTTTTAATGGTGAAGGCAATAAAGAGACTGAGCATCTCGCCCCTCCTGGGTGTTTGGGCCCTTTCCTGGGATGGTACCGATGCCGCAGGGCGGGCCCATTTTGAGCCCTATTGGTTTGCACCCTAAGTGGCTTTCTTGCTGCTATCGGATCTTGGAAACGTATTTTTAAAACCATTTTATTGGGGCTCTTACAGCTCTTATAACAATCCATATATTAATTAAATCAAGCATATATGTACATATGTTGCCACCATCATTTTCTAAGCGTGTTCTTTCTCTTTGAGCCCTGGTATTAGTTCCTCTTGTTTCCCTTCTTCCCTGACCCGCCCACTCTCTTGAACCCTTGATAAAATAGAAATTATTATTATTTTCGTGCCTTGCACTGACCGCTGTCTCCCTTCATCCACGTTTCTGTTGTTCTTCCTCCTTGGTGGTGGTGGTGGTAGGGGGTGTTATACATCGATCATTGAAATCGGTTCCCCCTTTACTCCCCCTTCTCCCCTCCCCTCTCCCTCTAGCCCTTTGGTATCACTTCTCCCATTTCTGTTCTTGAGGGTTTATTTGACCTGGATTCTGTGTGTTGAGGGCTCTTGTCTGTATCAGTGTACATTCTCCAGTCTAGCTAGATTTGTAAGACAGAGCTGGAGTCATGATATTGGGGGTGAGGAAGCCTCAAGGAACCAGAGGAATATTGTGTTTAATCGGAGCTATACTACACCCTGGTTGGCTCATCCCTTCCTTGTGACTCTTCTGTGAGAGAATGTCCAGTTGTCTACAGATGGGTTTTGGGTCTCCAGTCTGACCTCCCTTGTTCTCAACAATGTGATTATTTGTTTGGGGACTTCTGGTGCTTGCTACCTGGTCCTGTCAATACCTTGTGATCACACAGGCTGGTGTGCTTCTTCCATGTGGGTTTGCTGCTTTTCTGCTATATGGCTGCTTATTTAACTTCAAGCCTTTAAGATCCAGTCTCCACAATCAAACGGGTCCAAGGGGCAGTTGTGTAATTGAAGTGTAATATTAAAGAGACATCAGACAAGATAAGGCATGGGAATGCTTACTTCCCGAAGAGCCACGATCTCAGCAGCCACATCGCTGCAGAGAGAGAGAATATATTTCCAACCAAGGCTTATATACACTTGGGGGGCTTGCAAGCCCCCCTACTTACAGGTAACCACATGCAAAACAGGAAGGGGTTGTACAATCGGAATACTCACGACAAGAAGGGGACAAGCTAAGGGTATACACGCAAGGGGAGGGGAGGCCCTAGAGGCACACATGTGACAGGAAGGCACAGATGTAACAAGCTGGGCGGACTCTAGAGTCATGATGGCAGCCTAACCTTGGTCATCCCTGAGCTGGCTTGACCTTAGTGTCTTTGGGGTCTCCTTCAGGGAACAATCCATGATCCTTATCAGAAGGGAGTGGACTTTACTTAAGGTGGAACAGCTAGAGCCGTTGACCTCCAAGTGTATAGTCTGTGTCTTAGGTTTGGCATATATTATGGGGGACAACCTGGGGAATAACTTGTTTCCCACAAGATGCTATATCTTTTAATAGCCCAGCACCATTAGTTTTCTTCAGCACATTTTCTTATGCACCCATTTTGTCTTCAGCGATTGTGTCGGGAGAGTGAGCATCACAGAATGCCAGGTTAATAGAACACAGTGTGCTTGCATTGAGGGAGAGCTTGAGTAGAGGCTCAAGTCTGTCCACTTTCTCAATATATTGCCATCTGGAAATACATGTGTCACGCTCACCCTTCGTTTGCCTCTCAGTAATTCCTTTCGACTAGATTACTGTTGCTCCAACAGCACCTGGGTCCTTACACCTCCTTCACCATTGATTTTAATTCCCCAGTTGTTCCCCTGTCTGTGGCATTGTTTGTTCATTGCTCCCTGCAGGCCCCCCCCCAAGTCTCCTTGGGACCGTCGGTCCCGTTGCCTTTTCCTGGGGTTGCTTCTCATGCCTATCTTATGCGGGCAGACAGACAGTATGAATGAAGACAAAAACTAGAAGAAATCAAAAGATCGGACAGGAGGAAGAAAAAAAAAGAGAGAACTCCATACTTAATTCCAGGTCTGACCACTGACCTTTATGATCATCTCCCACAGTTACTGGGGAGCTCCGGGTACTGCCCCTCCTAGCCTGAAGTCTATTTTGGGGACTCCTCAGGGGCTTTGTGGCTTTGCTCCCATTGCTGATCTGTTTTGTTCCCTTCTTGGTTCACTTCACTCCCCACAGTGTGTCCCCTGTATGGTCCTCTGTCTCAGTGTGCTCCAGCGAGGGGACATTGTGTCTCGAGCTGTTGTTGGCCCTGCGGCCCTCTCTCGACCTTCGCAGCTCTATGCAAGGACGTGGTCCGCAGGACTGGGTGCGCCAGAATGGGGTCCAGTCCCTCCCTCTCTTTTTCCTTCTTAGTCTGCTCCCATGCGGGCGAGTCCAGCCCGCCCCTCTCCCACCCTGCCATATCCTCAGCACCATAAACAATGTCTGGTACCTAGTGCTCACCCAGGAAATATGTGTTAAATGGAGGAAGCTGCCAGTCAATAAACTACGCAGACTGTTGAGTGTATTATGACATTTAATATGCAAACCAACCATAATTACTAGAAAAATCAGTGTGCAAGGCAAGAAACTGATACTTGCCAGTATATCTTGAAACTAAATGAATTGAGATCATAAGCATCTAAATATTACAACTATTTTTACAGAAAAACCTACTGTGTACCCTGGAATTGCTGTATTTTTCCAGAATGCCTTTATCTTTTTTGGGTAAGCTTGTTTCACATTCTATATCCTATCTTTTTGGTTTTGTATAAAAAACAAGTTAAGTTTTTAATAGATCACTCCTGCCGATTGCTATATTTGTTTTTGCAATTTACTCCTGTTCAATGCCCTTCACCCATGTTATTGTCAAGAATATGAAGAATGAGGGTGAAAGGATATTTTCAATACATGGGGCTGGTGTGCTTGCCAGCTTTGGGAACATGTTAATTTTTTAAATTGCCACTACAGTGAACCCTCGTTTATCGCGGTTAATCGGTTCTAGACCCTACCGTGATAAATGAAATTCCGCGAAGTAGGATTC